ATGGTTTAAGTGTCTTCTGGTGTGAATATCTGTTTACTCAGGGGCAAAAAAAAAAGTTCGATGTATTGGTTGTCTCTTCCCCTCTCATTGTTAGCAATTAAATAAAGCAATTTCAGTCGATTTTGCTTCCTTCTTTTTGGTAACGTTTCGAGTTCTGCTCTAGAACACACGTCTGTGGGCGATACATAGGAATAATACACATTATAAATAAAACGCACTGCGAGCCTCTAAAAACTTTCTCTAAATCAGCTATGCTACAAGTCGTGTGCGGGTTTCAGACACTGCTAGCGCAATCTAGAATTGGTCTAATAAACGTTTTATATAACAACAACTTAGTATATTGTGATCCGTGTTTAAAATTCCTGCGCAATACTCCCAAGCTTTTAATTGACCAATATGCATATTCCAGTTCAAGCCAGACGTTATGGTGACATCGAGGTACTTTAACCGAGGCGAACTCGTGAACAACCTCGACTAGTTGCGTAATTGTAGACACTTTCTTGTAAAATCCTTGCTAAACGCTGGTAAAAAGAAAAATGGTTAGATTCAAGGTACGACGATACGTGCTTGAACACCACATGCTCTAGAACTTTACTACACTTACTCAAAAGAGAAAAAGAGCGTCAACTGGAAATAATTTTAAAGTCCCTCGGTTTTGGAGTCGCTATTACTTTGGCGACTTTCCACCCCGCAGGGTCAGTGGCAGTTCTCCCTGAACATCGGAATATGATAACCAAGTATTTAGCACAATATTCGGCCTATCTTTTCAGAAAAATTCGTTACGAGTACCGTCCGGGCCTTGTGTCTTCTAAACATTGATATTCGAAAAGATGTTTAAGATGCCCTCTTCTGATATAACGATATCAGGCAAGGGATTCCTGTTTTGGGTGTATTCGGCCGGCGGCTAGAAAACGAGGTCTAGCCCATCATCTATGGTAAAAAAAGAAGTGAAATAATAATTGAAAGCACCCGCCAACGAACACGGGTCCGTCAACGCTCTCGCCGTCAACAGTAACTTCATTCAGACGCCTCGTGGGCGACAAGTAGCGCCAAAATTATCAGGTCCGGATTGAAAGAAAGCCCAGCCAAAAGTTACTTTAAAATACCTATATTTTGCTCCTTTTCTTTTTTCTTTCAGTTCACGATTTATCCTAAATGAGGATCGAATGTCGGTTTCGTAGTCGAAACGGAATGATTTCTCTGGTTATCCAGCGGTTTCACTTGTTCAGGACATTCTACCTTTTTAGCACAAATTGCCACTCAATAAAAATCTTTTGAAAAAAATTTACATAAGAAATTGACATCTGGTTCTGGCACAAGATATGCACTTGAGAACTCACACAAATATAGTCTTGTTTTGAAAACTGTTGCAGCATGGAAGAACTTTCAAGGTTGGTTCACACACTTGCGTTTACCTGCGACACGTCCGGTTCTTATATATCTCGGGAATGCTTATGGTTGGCTGCGCCGCATTGCAGCCATTCGTAGGCAGTTGCAAGAGGCTTGGAAAAAAACTGTTTTTAAACGTGTACGGTTGAAAGCAGTCGCAATTGTGTGAAACAGCCTTTGCGCGCCACGAGCGCGAACGGCGAACGGATGGTCCGACGACCTAAAACTAAGCAACTACGCTAAAAAAAACAACAAGAAAAAAACACGCGAGATGTGGGTAAAATTAAATTACCCCAACAGAGAACTGCAATAAAAATGAAACGCCATAGTTTACGCTTCGGCGAGGAAAGTGTAGCGCATGACAACGGTCCCGAGACAACGGGTACAACAAAGCCGCAGCAGAAAACGCGTTTAGGCACCCACACACTCTCTCTCTCTTCCCCCCCTTTTTCCTGCCCTTTATCTTTATTTGTATCTAGCAGTCTCTCTGCTCGTCTCTTCCACCAGCACCGCCATATTCTTCGTCGCGTCGGAACAAAGAAAGGGGAAGAACGCACCTTCGCGGTGCCCCAACAACACGCGCCGCCGAGCATTAGACACTTGGAAACCAATTTCGGGCCACAACCAGAGGCTTAGAAAGAGGGAAGAAGGCAAAGCAAAGGAGGGAAGAGGGAAGAGAGAGAGAGAGAGAGGTGTTCCAAGGGAAGCAGAAAAAGAGATGGGAGAAGTGGACCGATAGACAAGAAGAAAGAAACGAGGGAAAGAGGAAACAAAACGAAGACAATGCGACTAAAGCCGAGCCCCCTTCCACGGGAATGCAATTATTTCCTGTTTTCTTTTTTTACTCGTAACAATTAGGGCAAAAACAAAGCGGAACGCCCGAACACTGAAGGATAGAAGCGGAGCAATGTACAATAGGAAGAGAGAGAGAGAGAGAAAGGGAGAGTCAGTATAAGGTCTGCCGCGCTGTGTGCTTTGCTGAAAATAGAACGAGAGGTGAAGCCCGCCAAGGACTAAGAGGAAAGCGGCCAAGGGAGGGGGACCTGGACAAATTACGGCCATTTTGTGTGTGGGGGGGGGGGGGGGGGGGGGGGTGCCCAAACGCCCGTAGACAAAGGAAAAGAGAATGTCCGCCACAACTGCCGCCGACAGCTCCTTTTGAGGACGGGCACGTGATGGATGTGTCCAATCGCCGGCGAAGCGAGTGCGCGAGGCGGCGGGCACGGTGTGAGCCCGCGTCTCTCTGTGCCTGTCTGTGTGTGTGCTACTGCAGCGCAGCCGCGCGAGATTCGCCGAGAGAATGCGAGACAGGAGAGGGGGTGAAAGAATTAAGAGGTTTCACCCTCCCCCCTCTTCCCGAGCCACCCACACACTTTTTTGGCAGGACCCATTGTCTTAGCTAGAGAACCCAGATTGAAGAGAGGGAGGCCACTCATACCAGGTTTAGCAGTTCCAGCGTATGCTGGAACTGCCATACGCAACGTAATTGCCGACTGCGCCGATGGATGCCAAGTGCGCATGCGTGGTGCAGTCGCCTGACGAGGAGGGAAGCGGACCGGAGAAGCGGAGATGCTTGCAAACGATGAACGCGTTCTTCACTTCCTCGAAGCATCGCATTTGCAAACACGGTCCGTAAACCACGTGACCCCGGATCCAGCGGTGGGAAACCCTCTGCCATCTAGGCACCCGAGTCTTAGCCGCTGGACTAGCGCCGCTGTACGGGGGAGGAGGTCTGCAGAAAAGCGGCTGACAATGGAACAAAGAGGAGCGTGGGGGAGGAAAAAAAAGGGCGAGGGGGGCGCGCCCACCGTTACAAATTACCTTCCTACCCGTAACTTTGTAGTTCGCTCCGTTTAACGAATAGTGCCAGGCTTTCTTTTCGCCCAAGCATCCACCACCCACAACAGGCCAAGAAATAGAAAACCATAGCGCACACAAAACGCGTACAAAAAGGAAGGTGTGGCGCGGAGTAGGAGGCGCGTGGGTGTGGAAGCTTCACCGAGTTGGCAAACATGCGCGAAGGCGGGACAAAAAGTTGGCTTTTATGGCTTCCGTAACATTGCGAGCGAGTTTCATCCTTGCTCTTTCCTTGTGTCTGGAGAAACCTTTTCTCAGACGCTCATAGCTGTTGAGAAGTGTTAAAATTAATTGCAAAGGTAACAAACGACATAAAAAGAAAAAGCGCTTGTTACGGAATGCACAGCTTGCGCAAGAATTGTGAGAGAGGGAGACCAAGAGGCAGCATGATATATATATATATATATATATATATATATTACGGAAAATCTTTGTTTTTTCCACAAAACACACACAAAAAAAAAAAAAAAAACTTGAAAGAAAAAGACTTACAATAAAAAACGTTTTTGAGCCGAAGGATGGCTGCGAAAAAGTAAGGTTTCAGTAGGGGTAGCGGTCAGCGACGCAGTGTTCCATGGCTAGGTGGCTCAAGAGGCCGCCCGATTTAAAGGGTTCAGCCGCATTGCATGCATGCATCCATCCATTCATTTCCCCATCCATCCATCATTGAAAGCTGCCCAAAGAAAAGGACACCCTGCATTTGAAACCCGGCCGACGACAAACTAAAGTCTCAGGGCAGTCGCTGCAGCGAGAGTGCCTCAACGTTGCTGACTGGGCCTGCTAGAGCAGCGAAATCTTAGCACAATCGCTCTAAGACGTTTGCAAGTACGGCCTCCGGGAGCCGTCATCTTGCTGCTGGTGCGGGTGGATCGTCCGAGAGTCAAGCATTGCCGAGGCGTACCCAGCGTTTCCAGACTGGCGCCAAAACAAAGCGTTTTCCCGTCCACGGTGGCCAGACTAGCTCTCGAAGCGCGGCTTCTTGCAAACGTCTTATATCCAAATCGCCCCAAAAGTATGTACACGCCAACGTGTATGCGTTATCGTCTTGTACATCACCAATGGACGTTTGGCCTGGTCTTCAATAAAGAAAATTAGAGCGAGTGACACGCGAGACGCCTCAGACGCTTCCGTTCAGATTCATGTCAATAATTCCCCAATATTATTATGATAACATACTTGGAACTTGCATTGACTGCCGGAAGGAGAACGAACAATAGAAATAACAGTGGTTGAGCTGTACAGTCTGTATATGGCTGCTCAAGGTTGAAAAGCTTGACATTGGGGCACACCCTTTTCGTAAGGGCAGGCAGCCTTCCCTTACCTTCGCGCGTAAAACTGCTTTGAAAGAGCAGGCGGACGCCTGTTTATAATATGCACAGCTACGGTTACACGGTATTGTTCTCACATTCTTCAAAAACATTTATTCACTCCTTTTTCCACGATCTCCGAGTAAGACTGGTTCAGCCGCTTCATATCACCTAAAACAAGTTACTGCGGCAGTTATCGACGCGTTAGTCTATTAGCGCCGAGATGTTTCGGTGGCGCCCCCTTACGGTTTCCTTTCGTGACGTCACGAACCGGATTAACCTCGCCGTGATTGGGATGACTTGCCTTGGCGTGAGTAGGCGATAGTGCAGGCGTTATCATCATACAGGAAACTATAGTTTGGCCAATCGCGAACTTCGACTACAGCTATACTTTTGGTCGCACACGTCACTAATAGGCCAGAGTCCACCCCGCGGGCGGGGACTCACCTTCATGGTCTGCGAGTGGTTCATAGCCTTGATGGCGTTGATGGCACACTGCCGGCTTGCGTACGTCACGAAAGCGCATCCTGAAACACAAGACAAGACAAACAATGAGCGACAAAGGTGGCGCCAAAAGCATCGCGGCCACCAGACATTTCGTGATCCTGACGAAGAGTATGCAAACCGTCGACAAAGTATAACATAGTAAATTAAAAAAAAAAAAAAGGCCGCGAACGCGAGATTTAGGAACCCACAAAAATAAAAAAATATATACGTAGAAATTGTTATTCAAAGAAAACTTAAGGACCGTAAACACAAAAGCGCATATCAGAAACTAGCAGGGGTGGAACTCATCAAATGTATTTGGGAGCAGTCACGGGAGCAGCTGAAACCGCTGTTTTGGAGCAGGTTGGGAGCAGCTAAAACTACATTCTGGAGCAGGCTAGGAGCAGCTCAGATCAGTTTTCATTGCACTTCAGCTTGTGTCTTAGACGAGCACGGGAGCAATTTCAATAGTGCTTAGCAGCACAGATGAACATGAGAGGTTAGGAACCTAGGTAGATGGGATAACACATAACAGTGTAACAGATGCGAAAAGTTGGAACTTTGTGAGCCTTAATGAGAGCCAAAACGCAAGTACCATACGTTTCTGAAGATAATGTACTTGATATTTTCTGAGTGGCTTTCAGCTGCTCAAGATGCAAACCAGCACTGCTTATCGCACAACTCACGTGCTCGACATAGTAATTATATGTGCGAACCACGTGACGTGCGTAACCAACGGACGTGCAGCTGCGTGGAGGAACAGGGCAACAAATTTCGAGTTTATCCTATTGTGCAACTCAATATCGAAGCAGCAGACTACGATTAACAGAGTTAGTGTATTCAAAGCGATTAACAAGAGCAAGGTTAAAGTACGCCGAGCAGATCTACCGCTCGCGTGAGAGCTGCTGGACGGCAAAATTTCGGATCGGACAGCGTTTCCAGTTCTATCAAATCACAATTTATCTTGCGGGAATGCGGTTCCAACTTATAACGATTAAGTAGTAAACGGAATCTTTTGCTCATTTTTTTTTTCCACTGGTTGACTTCTGGATCCCGGGCCGCAGAGCCTCAGGCAATCTGACGCTTAACGACTCGACCTCACCTCGGCCGACCTGCTTAATCACTGATGGTTGAAGAATAACAATCCAGTCGCATGCAGGTGGTGTAGCGCTTGGAATCCGATCCCCGAGTTTTTAGGCGCGCTTCCGACTCGAGATACATAGGGAGAATAAACAGAACAAAGGATTGCAGGGCCGACCAAGCTAAACGTGCTCATTGTTGCCAGTCGACTCGATAGAAACCGAAACCAAGACAAAATACAATTTTTTTGGGCGCACGTTGTGCGATTTGGCGCATACTGGCGCAAGCTATTGGCAATGGCGCAGTTTCCGCAAAATGGCGCAGGATGGCGCAGACAAATGCGTCTGGCGCAAAATGGCGCAAATGGCGCAGCCGTTCCACCCCTGAACTAGGAATAAAGGAAACACATCAGCAACCATTCAAAACTAGATTAGCAATACCTGGAACAGATACTCCTTTAGCATTACAAACGCCCGAACTCACGGATCTGATATAAATAATGGAAAGAACAGAAAACACAAAGGCGGACAAGACGGAAACCTTCTTGTCCTATTACTTATATTTCCCTTACCAGCACGCTCTCCAGTCCAAGCATATTACGGATGCGGAAACAGCATTTACCAAAGTTCACGAAATGCAACGAAACCCACACTCAAAAGGCTTCCGAAAAACGGCAAAAGAAGAACAACGAAGCCGTCGTCTCACTCAGTATCGCCGTGGGTCATCGAATAAACCAGAATCGGCAAACAGAATCGAAAGAGATGTTGAAAATAATATTCGCGATGGGCAGCAGAGTGAAAGCGCGCACATGCCGGGAACTACCGTTCGCGCTTCCGTCGAGATAATGTCAATTCAAAGAGACTTTGATGGGAGGATCGCGTGAGGACGTCAGCGCTGTACAGGCACGAAAGCCCTTAGGGAATGCGATTTCCCCAAAATAGGGAGCCGTATAGGGAGATCCAACGACCGACCGTTCCCCCAAAACGCCACCAATTTTTCTTTAAATTGGCTCTCTGACCGAAGTGGCTCCACCAACCAGGGAAAGAACTGCAAAAGAGTGCTCGGGTGACCAAGACAATTAGTTGTTTTCATGATGTTGGTGAGAATTCATCGTTCTTCTGGTTACCTAGTAGAACCACACTGCGTAGTAGAACACAATCACGTACAGTCGAAGAATGGACGTGGCTACACAGTAATTATTGTTCGGGTGCTTTCAAACGACTCCTTTTAAAATCGTGAAAGGGATTTTAAGAAAATCACCCCCCTTCCAAAATTCTGTCCGTCCGTCCGGCCGCCTGCCCGTTCGTGCATTTCTCGCTAAATTTAGCGGAAAAAATTGACGTCGCCGTAACCTAGACACCGACTCAGTTTCCCCGCTAAATTTATCGGAAAAACAGATGTCCCGTGACGTACGCACAAATTTACTTTTTCCGCTAAATACAGCGGAGAAAATGACCCGTACACGAATCCAGTTTCCCGTTAAATTCAGGCGGAAAATGGACGTCACGTGACCTTTGTACCAAAGTCAGTTTCCTCGCTAAATTTAGCGAAAAAATTTATACAAGTTCGTGGCTCCCCGGAACAGTGGTTTAATGTCGTCTAAAGAACGCTAAACGATAGCTCCATAAATACAGCGTTTCGTCCATCGACTTTGAAAATAAAAATCGCCGTCAGTTCTCTCTTTTCTTTTTTTTTTGCTTACTGCGTATTAAGTGAACGTGATTATTGCCCGCGTATTTCTGTGGGTACACGCATTTCCTATCACTAATAAACAAATACCACGGCCGCTGGGGTTTCCACGTGACCTGCACGGAGGCGAGCACGAGGCACGTATTGAACGCTGGTGCTGTGCCAGCTCCCGGCTAGGCCTCGCCCAGACGTAGCAATCGTGCGTAGTCGTCTGTCATGCGCTGGACCCGAGTAGGTGACGTAATCAACCTGGTACTACGACCTTTTCTTATCTAGGATGAGACCTTAACGAGATCATCACGTCTTTGCCACGAAAAGGCCTTTGGGCGCTGCACGATTACCCACATAAATAACTAAATAAAAAAAAAAAATTGCAGCGACCTTTTGTTTAAAAAGTTCTATAATGCTGCAGCATTTGAGGAGTGATTGTCCAAATTTGTTTAGAAGACTCTAAACAGTCGTTTCGGGGCGCGAAGAATTTCTATTTTTATCGATTTCCATGGTACATTAAGCGGGGAAACTGGGAACATAGGAACATAGAAAGGACGCTAAAGCCTGATTTCCATGATGAGATTCTTTCTGCTCGGTATTTTCAGAAGCGACGTCGCTCCGGCTGCAAACTGCGTGGACGGTAGCTGCAATGCTCCACCTTGATAATGATAATCGCGAGCAGAACCAGACCGAGTGAATCGGGCATAACAAGTCGGTGATGGCCACTGGTAACAATGATCAACATCTCCCCTGCAAGTACTTACTGCTCACACCGAGCCTATACTTGCCCCAAACAATTCCTTCAAACTTAAAGGGACGCAGAACCGAAATTTAAATTCCACAAAACACGCGGCAAAAGCGTGCAACGGGACGCTACAAACACCAAAACATCACTCATACAGTAATATCCCAAACGAATGACCGTATTAAAAAAAGAAAAAGGAGGCGCATTGGACAGAAATGTTTACGTCATGTTTTTCAGAGAAAGAGAGGGACCGGCCTCGCGTCTTCTCCGCCCCGCCGCCTTGAGGGGGCAAAGCGAAGAGAGGAGGAAACAAGATATCTGCACGTCACGCGCCTCGTCGGCCTGGTTCAACCTCGACCTCTTTTTCCAAAAATACGGCCGTCCATTCGAGATATCAACTACGGGTAGTGTAGTAGGGATTGTAGCGTCCCGCCTACATCTCCTGCATTTTTTTTTTTTTAGGGGCGAAGCTTTTTAGGGTTTAGCAATGTCCGTATGTTCGTCCGATGTCCGGCGTCGGGTGCTCGTGCTCGCGAGCACGTGAGCACGTGCTCCTGTGCTCGTGTAGGGCAAAAAAACCAACAAAAAAACAACAACCGCATCTTTACGTGTTGAATAATGTTGATTGAGGCGAAGCTCTGGTGGTGCTTATCTGCGTAGACGTGAGTCGCAGCATGCCAAGCCTTTCGTTCGTTTTCATCCACGTCACAAAGAGAATGTGTGGTATGGCACGTGGTTATATACGCATTTGAGCATTTGAACGCAGCATCACATGAATGAAAACGAACGAAAGGCTCGGCATGCTGCGGCTCAGCGTCTACGCAGACAAGCACCACCAGAGCTTCGCCCCAATCAAAATCATTCACCACGTGGAGATGCGGTTGTTTTTCTAATCCAAATTTCGGTTCACCATCCCTTCAAGTCTTTTGAGGCCTGACGTTACCTCTTTTATCAACGTTTGGTCTACCGGCCGCGGTCGCTTGAACGAGCAGACGACAGTTTGAGCGATCAGACGGCCGCTTGAACGTGAGGACGCACTGAACGTGGTCCGTGGGTGGCCCGGACGGTTTTCCCCACCACGGTATCCGTGATTTCAAACCAACGTGCTTCCCGCACAAGCAATCGTGGTCCAACGGTGTCCGGTTGTCCCTTTTCACGGCACCCATCCACGTTCTCGCACGAACCGAACAGGCAGAAAACAGACGAAAACTGATCTTCACACCTTTTCGGCTCCCTTGGTGCAGCCCCAGTCGCGGCGAGAAGGCAGGTTTTTGGTCACGTTGCTTCCAAAACAACACAGGAATGCCCGTCCCCCGTGGCGACTTCCGCCCCCGCCCAGACCGGAAGTGCGCCCGAAGCGTCACCACCCGGTGTGACGATGCACTCTTGGTGGCCCTTGGTTGGCTCCATCGATCGTAGCGTCCGCTGCGATCGGACTTAAAATGGGGAGTTTTCCTAGACAGCGTTTCCCCCTCCGCTAAGCCCTCCGCAAGGAAGAAGCCGCTACTGCGCCTGCACGCCGATGGCCTTGACTGT